CCTTAGAATCCCATGATAATTCAGTGCTATTGACAGTTTTTTATTTTCAACTAGGATAATATTACATTTAATTTGATGAACAGAAGATAAGAAGTTTACTCACAAACTAATTGTGATGTGTGGTAATCTAGGAGTGCCAAGCTAAGGTTCACCTTAGTATCACTGGATGAAAGGGTGGCAAAGAAAAGTAATTCTATATCAAGAACATACTAAAATATAGTTAAAGAGAACACTATCAAAACTTGTTTATATAAATTTGATATACAATTTACAAATCACACAAATTTATGTTTAAAAAGAATGGCCAGTGGCTCTGAACTAAACTCTGTAGTTTGTATATATTTATGAGTAACCAAGATTTCTCTTAATCTATTTGTGCTGCTATAACAAAATACCATAGACTAGGTAATTTATAAAGAGAAGAAATTTATTTCTCACAGTTCTGAAGACTGGGATGTCCAAGGTCAAGGCACCAGGAAGTTCAATGTCTGGTGAGGGGACCAGTGGAGACTTTCAACACGGCACCTGTGGCTACATCCTACCAGGGAATGCTGTGTCCTTACATGGTGAAAGGCAGACAGGCAAAAGGCCAAATGCTGTGTGGAGTCTCTTTTACAAAAGACTCTCTACTCATGAAGGAGGAAGCCTTGTGGCCTAATCACCTCTCATGACCATCATATTGGCTGTTAAGTTTTAACACCTGAATTTTGGAGGAGACACATTCATATCATAGCAGATGTGCTGCTTTAAATGTTACATATCTCATACTTTTCTTCAATATTAAGATACATCAGGTAAAACGATGGAGCAACTGTCACCAAACCATCAATCCTACAGGTGATCTCTAGGCTAAACTTCTTCACTCTCAGCCTGTGCTGTGTGTGACAGGTGTCACATAAGAGCTTATTTCCTGAGGAAAAGGTGGTTAAATTGGTTTGCAGAGGAAAGTGGTCATCAGCACAGAATTTCTACAGACTCCGATCTTGATGCATGAGACGATAGGTTTCTCTTTATGGGAAATAAATCAAAACACTCTTGGGAACAAGCAAGTAAAATCAAGTTGTTTTGTTGCAGAACAGGCAGGTGGAAATTTGTAGCATTACAAAGTGTCTTGAGTCCTACCAATTGTCACAGAATGAGACTCATTTGTAGTAAGCCTGAAAGTTTGCAATATATCGTGGAAAAAATGGACAGTTTTACTTATCAGCAAGCCAGTTATTATCAGAATACCCAAGTGGTCTCAGAATATTCTCAGGAGTTTTTAGAAAGCAGACACCACTCTTCTGGAACTTAAAGTAAAATGGTTACTGGTCTCTGTATCTAAGGAAAAAAAATAATAACAAGAAATTGATGAAGAGAGTCAATTTCTTTTTACCATGGAAGATAAGTATTTCTAGCATGACTATTTATTTCTAGCATCCCATAGGTTCATTCCACAGGTTACATAAGCAAGATAAGGGAGTAAAACTTGGTGCTATTACACATCCATCCAGAGATGCCAGAGATGACCTGGGTGCAAAAGATACCCTGTCAGTATCTATAGTTGAGAATTTAGGACCCGATCTTAAAGAAAAAGCTGTCAGAAGAGTCTGGTCAGTTGTTAAAGTCAGAACAGAGGTACCAGTTAATAAAAAATGATCTAAATCAAGGCTACATTATTAAACAGAGGAAAATGCTTTTCAATAGCCATGGCAGAAGATAATATAAGTATTTTTTGAAATTTTAAGCTTATCTAGAAGTGAGGAATTCTTATTCCTTTTACAATTTCTAAAGCTATGAATAACACAAAA